CCTGTGCATACACCCGAAACCTGCGCATACACCCCAGGAAGCAGCAAACACAAATCAGCAGCAACTCGCCTCATTTGTGTATCTTTTGTTTGTGTATTGATCCCACGCAGTGTAGGCCCCAACCCAACGCAACGAGTTGCTGCTGCTGCTGCTGCTGCTGCTGCTGCTGTTGTTGCTGCTGCTGCTGCTGCTGCTGCTGCATGCAGCAGCAAAGCTGTCTATCATTCCGTCCTCTCTCAACAAACTCTGCATGAAATTCGCGACGCACGAAGAGTGGCTCGGCCTCCCCAGGTGTACATACAGCTGAAATATCTCCTCTTGTGTAAGCGGCATCTGCATACATACACACAAAAACCCTAAACCCTAAACCCTAAACCCTAAACCCTAAATTCACAGACAGAAAGCTAGCGGGTAGACAGACCTTCTGAAGGAATCGCATAACAAACTCTTAACCCTAAACCCTAAACCCTAAACCTCAAACCCTAAACCCTAAACCCTAAACCCTAACCATCACCAGTTTACCCTATGCCTAATGTCTGCATCCCTGCATACACCTGCAGCTGCTGCTACTGTTACTGCTTCTGCTGTTGCTGCTGCTGCTCCTACTGCTGCTGCTGCTGCTCCTACTGCTGCTGCTGCTGCTGCTGCTGCTCCTACTGCTGCTGCTGCTGCTGCTGCTCCTACTGCTGCTGCTGCTGCTGCTGCTACTCCTACTGCTGCTGCTGCTGCTGCTGCTGCTGCAGTACCTGGATAGCGCTGAAGCAATCGGCTAGGTGCAGCAGCGACAGCCGGTTTGCTTCCTTGCAGATCCAGCTGCTGCCTCCTTTCCCGTCGGGCTGTACACAAGACAAATATATTTACATTAAACTCAAATAAAAATAATTATTGTTTTTATTTTCTTATTATTTTATATAATAACCACAATACAGTAGTAGAAATAAATGTTAGGGCTTAGACAAGCAAGAGGCTGTCCCCGCAGCAGCAGCAGCAGCAGCAGCAGAAGCAGCAAACAGCAGCAGCAGCAAGAACGTTCAGCAGCAGCAGCAGCAGCAGCAGCAGCAGCAGCAGCAGTGTCTGGGGTATCATACGGTGTAGGTGTATCTGCATTCAGCTGTCTTTGCTTCTCCGTTTTCTCCCGGGGGCAGATTCACCGAAAACCTAAAACTGAACGCCTCCGCCTCTCTCCTCTCCCCACGCCACCCCACACACGACCCCACACACGACCCCACACACGATCCCACACACGACCCCACACACGATCCCAGACACGACCCCACACACGATCCCGCACACGATCCCACGCACGACCCCACACACGATCCCAGACACGACCCCACACACGACCCCACACACGATCCCACACACGATCCCACTGACGACCCCACACACGACCCCACAGTCGATGTCTGTGACGACCCCACAGACGACCCCACAGACGATCCCAGACACGACCCCACAGTCGATGTCTGAGACGATCCCGGAGACGATCCCGGAGACGATCCCGGGACAGGCTGTGGGGTGGTGGAGGCCCCCGCTATGGTAGCGGCAGTGACGGGGACCTCCCATGCGCATAGCGATAGATGCATCCGCGCCTCGATCTCGCTGTCGCTGCAGCAGCAGCAGCAGCAGCAGCAGCAGCAGCAGCAGCAGCAACAGCAGCAGTAGCAGGAGCAACAGTAACGGCAAAGACAAGAGCAACAGCAGCAGCAACAGAGAGAACAGCAACAGCAGCAGCAACAACAGGAGAACACAACCCATCAAGGAAACAAGCAATAAGCAAACCCCACAAAACAACAAAACCCCACAAAGACAAACAACAAAGACAAACAACAGCAACAACAACGGCAGCAACAACAACAGCAGTAACAACAGCAACAATAGCAGCAACAACAACAGCAGCAACAACAGCAGCAGCAAAAGGAACAAAAAACAAACAGCTAACAATAGCAGCAGCAACAGCAGCAGCAACAGCAGCAGCAACAGCAGCAGCAACAGCAGCAGCAGCAATCGGAGAAGAAAACAGCAGAACGTCGCAGCAACTGCAAAAGACCAAGGCAGCCACAATAATCATTCATTTTATTTATTTATTTTTATTTATTTATTTATTTTTATTTATTTATTTTTATTTATTTTTATTTGTTTATTTTTATTTATTAATTATATTATTCTTACAAAGGGCGACCCAATTGCCTTGGCCTCAGACCTGGGGGCTTCAGCACAAACCGATAAAGACCTTGCCGCCGTCTCCCCGCCTGCTGCTTCTGCTGCTGCTGCTGCTGCTGCTTCTGCTGCTGCTGCTGCTGCTGCTTCTGCTGCTGCTGCTGCTGCTGCTGCTTAGGTGCTGGTGGCTGCGAGAGCCTGACCTCGTGTGTCTGCGGGTTCGATAAAAGACGCTCAATGAGGGGACCGCCCGCCAGCAGCTTCCGCTGCAGCGAAGGAGACAACGCAGAGCAAGGCTTCCATTCTGCTGCTGCTGCTGCTGCTGCTGCTGCTGCTGGTTGTGTTGCTGCTGCTGCTGCTGTTGCGTCTGCTGGAGGTGTTGCTGGCTGTGTTCCTGCTGCAGCTCCTACTGCTGCTGCTGCTGCTGGTTGTGAAACTGCTCCTACTGCTGCTGCTGCTGCTTGTGCTGCTGCTCCTCCACCTGCAGCAGCACCAGCAGCAGCAGCAGCAGCAGCAGCAGCAGCAGCAGCAGCAGGGGGCCAGAGGTCTCTGATGCTGACGACTGCATCGAGCAGAGAAATGTCTCTGCAGTTTGTCGTCGCGTTTAGGTCCCCCACCAACACCACTGGCTTTCGCCGCAACAACCTGAATGCATGCATATATATATATATATATATA